GGATTGATTCAATGCATCACGCATCACATCACACATAGCTGAGCAACAACCAAGCTCTCAGTATCCTTTCGACCATTCCATCAGAGACTTGCGACATGTCCCTCTCTCGCCCGTTTGTAACCCCTACTACAAACTTTTCAGTGCTAATAACACGAGCAGTAGCCACGAACTGGACGTAGGGACATTCTGCCCGAACCAGTATAAACCTTGTGTCTTTTAGCACACCATCCGGGTCAGATGCGCAATAACACAAATTTACTCGTTGGTGTTTACTCGAAACACCGACAACCCGGTTTTAAGTAAAAAATCAAATACACACCATATGTGAGCCCAGGAATTCAAATCTCACATATAGCTACAAATAAAGGTAATATCAATAGTCAATGCTTAATATACAACATACTTAGTATAAAGGATATAACCTTAGATAGCAAACAGCGGAAAGACAACTCCGAACTTCGGGTGAAGACTCCAATTTCACATGGACAACTGACTGGTTATCACAAGCCTAATTCCTCCAAACTCTAGCAATCCGGTACCCATCCGAGATTTTTTCAAAGATTTAAAAAGTAAAGCAAGCATAAGTACATGTCGTACTCAATAAATATAACATGAGGTTCATGAAGCTCAAAAGGCTGACACTGGTTTAACTACGATTAGCTTTTAATTGTCACAATTTTAGCATAGGAATAGCAACAAGTTTATCACAAGCCCATATAAACACATGATCAGGTAAACATGAATAATGAATAGCATAAACAGTAATCATTAGTGAGCATCTTTATCATTAGTATCATCAGTGTTCATCATCTATTCCGTAAGGGTTCCAAGGCCGCTCGTGACCGTGAGCATGGCTGATATACTAGTTTTACACTCTACAGAGGTTGTACACTTTCACTGTGAGTTGTGATTTACCCTTTCACCCGAGGTGATCAGCCTCTTGACCCACTACCAAGGAAGGTCGGCAGGGTTTACTATGAAGCTTTTCAAAGGTTCGTCTAACAAGTTAGGGCCATTAGATTCACTCGGCAAATAGATATAGGAACCCCCCTGTCGAATGGCACAATTTCATCACGGTTATACACATAAGAGTAGAGGCTGACCTATACCTGATTCGGCAAGCCATTCTTAGACCAATAAAGGTAACCACTGACAAGCTAGAAAAGGTCCTCATACTGAGCTAAAGCCAGAGCCATATAGCCCTCACAGTTATACTGTAAGTCCCAGATGATTACTTACAGATAAGTCCTTAGGAAGAGACTAGAGCACCATAAAATAGCTCAATTCTCTAGCCCCCTTGTTCTATGTTGCTAAAAAGCATCTTTTAATGTTTATTGCACATACCATTAGTCAAGTTACAAGATCATAGCTTTAGTTGAGCACTAGCATCATACTATCAAATACAATACCCCATAGGTAACAAGGAACAAAGTACAGAGTACTAGAAAATCCTTAGTGGTAATCAAGGTAGACACATGCAGCATGAATTAAATGATTAAAGGTGTATAGGACAACAAGTAAGATCCCATGCTATACTTGCCTTAAACTCTGATCCTTCTTCTAGTCCAAAGATTCAAAGATCTGTTTCTTGATTCACCACGTATAGCTCACCGACTGGACATGATCAGAAAGCACCACACAAGCATCCATACAATCATGCACGAAGCAAATAATAGAACTAAATTAGAATAGTACACCAAACATAAAATCAAGATGAAAAGTTTATAAAACGAATCTACGTCTTGCTACGAACACACATACGGGAAAATCACTCTAATCGGAGCTATAACGAAAAAGATACAACTACCAAAAGATTTGCTTTATAAAAGTGAACCAAGAGCTTTATTAATTTTAACTATATAAAAGGATGTATAGGATATTTAAGAGAAATACCTGAGTTGTATTAAGTCAAAATTCACATTTGCATTTAGAAGACAAAAGTAGAATTAATCATAGTTTATTTATGAATCTAGTTGCATAATTATTATTTAAGTTAGAATTTAAACCATGAAATTCTAGAAATAGTGACATGATTAATATTGTTACTAACGCGTAGATCTCGTTGTAATGAATCTAACGCAACCTGAACTGATCAAATCAGAGTTAAAACGTAGAAGATATGAATTAAACAAGATTTCTTTTAATAAAATAATAGATTAAATCTAACCTCGAATTTTAAAAGTTGAAAACATATCTAACAGTAGTATGAACATATAGATTATGGAATTATGAACCTAACGCAAGTTGAACGGGTCAAAACGGAGCTCAAACGAAGAAATTATGGCCTAATAAAGATAGTGGCAAAACTATAAATAACTAGATCTTATTTTCTCCTTTTAAACAAATAAATACTGAATTTTACAAAAGATTGGACCGCGGGTACTATTTTGAGAAAACCCAGGGGCTAGAACAGGAGAAATAAGGGCCTGGTTACAATTACTTTACACGGACACTAGACGGCGGGTTAATTTCAGGGAAACATAGGAGCCTTTGTGCTAAAGGGTGCACGGTTAGCAAGGGAGGGTGACATGGCTACCACGCGGCACGACGGGAGTGGGGGCAGATGGTGCACCAGCTGTGGGCTCGCGGAGCTGGCGCCCGTGCACGTGGTCTATGGTGCATGATGGACCGGTTATGAAGGGGTATGCGGGGTTCTAATATGGATCGTTGATCGCAGATCGGGCGGTGCAGATCAAACGGGGAAACGGAAGTCGTCGAAGCGGCGCTGTGCGCAACGGCGCCATGGTTGACAGCGAGAAGTTCACCGGTGATCGGTGAAAGGGCGAGTCTGGGTGCGAAACTCGATGGGGAAAGCACGGGAAGAAAGAGCGGGCGATGGCGAACTCACCTAGGGGGTTATCGTCGACAGTGAGGCACAAAAGGGGCATGGGACAAGGTGGAGCAGATGGCGACGACAGCGCTAGGGTTGCGGCGCGCGACAAAGCTAAAGCGAGGCGGCGTAGCGGCTCGGTTAGGGCTAGGCGAGGCGGCGCGATGCGGGCTACGACTTTTATGAGGTGGGGCGACGTAGCGCGCACGACAAACAAGCAGACACGGAGCGGAGGCAGACTCCTTGCGCAGACGGAGTCCGGGACGACGCCGACTCAAGGTGGGAGAAAACCCTGATAAACGGGCCCGAGGTGGCAGCGGGTCAAGGTGCGGGACTGAGCTGTCAGCGAGAGAGAGGAAGAAAGGGGAGTGGGAGCGGGTCGTTGCGCGCGGCTTGGGCCAGTCTGTGGGGGAAGGCAGGGCAGGCCGCGCGAAAGAGATTGGGAGCGGGCCGAGCTGGGCTAGCTGGCTGTTGGGCGTCCAGGCCAGAAGAGGGGAGAATGGAAAAAGAGAAGCGGGCCGCAGGATGGAACAGGCCTACGCGAGGGATGGAACAGGCCAGAAGAGGAGAGGAGCAGGCCTTCAGGCCGAGAAAAGGGGAAGAGAGGGAGGAGGTTTTTCTCTTTTTTTTCAAAGCTATTTCAAACTTGTTTTCAAAGCAATTCAAATTCTTTTTCAAGTTTTGACCAAAACCACTCACTTCAATAAATTATATGCACCAGCATGAATGCACCATCAATATAGCTAAGCCCTATGATAAATTTTAATTTAACAAAAAATTATTATTTTCTTATATTTCATGTGCACAAAGATTCATAAATAAATCATTTTAATCCTATTTTTAAAAGTGCAAAATTTTAGGGCGTTACATTTAGTACCTTTAGATGGTGATTGATGGGCAAGTGTACAAGGTCAATGACGGTGTGGTGATTAATGAATAGTGTAGGGACGTCACAAGTGGGTGGTCCATGAACCTGAATAAAAGTCAACCTCTATTTTAACAAGTTTTTTTTTCAAAAAAATGTTTATAACAAACTGTGTCTACTAGGGTTTCTAGAAATTTTACTTGCGTATGTTTGTTTTTAATGAGCTTCCTCCTAGAACTCGACCTAGGGGAACTCCGCGAAAATTTATCCTGAAAACGATTTCTAGATTTCTTTATGAAGCCCCCACTATATTGTAAAAGAGACCATTCAAACTTTTGTTCCCACCAAGAACATGGAGAAGTTTCACAGAGGTATAATTTCCTTCCGAGTGGTATAATTTATGTCACAACAATTTTAATTTGGAATATGTGTCAAGCATGCTCTTTAAATTAGCTCTAGCGTTTAAAGGTCCCGTTCGCTTGTCTTAAAATCTAGCTTGTTTGGCTTCTTTTTTTTAGCCAGAACAGTGTTTTTCTCTCATAATAATTCAGCCGGAACAGTGTTTTTGCTTCTTTTTTCAGACAAACGAACGGAGCCAAAGAAACAAAATTGAATTCATGGAACGCCTAACAAGATTTTGTCAGGGAAACCTAGGATAGTACACTTTCAAAAGTCGCCATTCCTCTTGGGAGAGGTACCAAAGCTTAACTAGGATTCGAACGTGGGAGATAGAGGCGTTTTGCGTGTACATGTTTATAGCACTATATCCTCTAAGACCGTGCAAAAATTAAAGTTGAACGTGTCAATAAGTATTTGTGACTGCAGAGAGTACATAAATAAGGTAAAAGTTTCCAATAATAGAAAGTTGTGGAGAAGAAATGTCAAAAGTCCAGCGGCGCACACTGGCTAGTGGCTAGTCGCGCCGACTGCCGACTGGTGTCGCGCGTGATGCAATGGATGCGAAACGAAGTTGAAGTTGTGCACACATAACAGCTAGCGTTGTTGAAATTCTAAAGCTTTATTACACTATACACAAACATATCCATGTACATGTACTCAATTGTTGAAATTCTAATGTACTTACATCTTACTTAGCTTGTTCTAGCGTGCCACAATGGTTACCGACACACACACACTAGAACGTGCTTGTACTTCCAACGGCTAATTATTTCGGTGCATATAATAAGCAAAATTAATAAACATATATGAAGTGAAATGATTGCAGCATCGTCGAGACGTCTTCATCCGAAGGATCGCGCGCTTGCGATTGGCAGCCCGCAGCCAGCAGCTGGCTTGGCTTGGTTGCTAGGGCTTTCCCGCCGGTGGGCAGTTTATGTGCGGGTTGTAGGAGTGGCACGACGCCCCATCCAGGCCTGCCCCTGCCAGAAACCGCCGCGCTGGCTTGGAGCGCAGCAGCATCCCCGCTCGCACCAGCGCTCGGTCGCTCGTCTGCCGCGGCCGCGAAGAAGCGATGACGGCACCCACGGCTCGCGCAGGCGTCGTCGCCGGCGCGGACGAGGTTGCCGCGGCGGCGGCGCCGGTCCTCCCGTCTCCCGCCACCTCCGTGCGGGTGGGCGGCCAGGCGGTGCGCGCCTCGTCATCGAGCAGCAGCAGCTGGTGGTGCAGCGCGTCGCCGTTGTCCAGGTGATCTGCCGGCGATGGCGATGGTCTAGAGCACTCGGAGACCTGAAGTAGGAGGAGGAAGCAGACGGGGAGGAGCAGTGGGCGAAGCAGTCCGTGTAAGGGGCGTGCCATCTTGCGTGCGCTGCACTGTGATGAAGCTTCTTCACCTGGCAGCTCGAGCTGATTGATGGAGCTGTTGAAGAGATCGATAGCAACATGCGTTTTTTATAGACTTCACGTGCATGCGAACTTGCGAAGTTCATATTGGTAGTTGATGGCCCAACGGCTTATTGGGCCCTATCTCTGCTCCCTAATCGGGGGAGCCCAACCCTAATTCGGTTGGTGGGCTCCGTCGCCCAGCACACATAAAAAGAAGGTGGGGGTGAAGGCTCGGACTACGAGGTTGACTGGAGCCGCCACACCCACCTACAGAGATACCCTAATCCGATCCTAAAGCGTGCTGCCAGCGACGGGATGAGCCCGCCACCACCACTACCGTCGCGCCTGCAGGGTCTCTGACGCCCCCACTGCCTCACCACCACGCCGAGCACTGGCGTCCGCGAGGCTGCATCCAGGGCGGCATCGGCGTCCACGCTGCCGTTGCGGTGAAGCTCCACAAGGTCGTGGAGCCTAACTATGGATCTACGGGTTACACAGAAAGGTACTCACATCGATCCTAACAATGGTACCAGAGCAAGGTTGACTCTGTGTAACCCTAACCCTAACCGGGTAAAAGCAAAAAGAAAGAGAGACCGACTCATGGTCTACCGGTCATCACCGCCACCGCGCGTGGGGGAAAGGAGCCGCACCGTTCGACGGCGCACGACAAAAGTAAAGAAAAGAACAGATCCATTCGGATCAGAGAAGAAATAGGGCCCTAGGCTCACAGAGCCAAAACCCTAACCCTAGAACGGGGATAATCTGTTCGAGAAATTCAAGCGAAAAGAAAAAGAACAAAGAAAAAAAAAGATGGGTTCAACCGAACCTAACCCTAACTCGCATGGAGAAAGAAAAAGATGAAAACCATTCGGATGAACTCCGAAAAGGAAAAGAAAAGAAAAATCCAAAGAAGAGAAGAACCTAACCCTAGATCCATTCGGATGTCAAAGAAAAGAAAGAAGAACCTAACCCTAGATCCATTCGGATGTCAAAGAAAAGAAAAGGAAGAACAACCGTCGAGAAAAGAAGAGAAAAATCCAAACCCTAGTCACCGGGCGAATCATCCCTTCACCGGCGCGGGAGAAGAAGTGCCGAGCGGGGGCAGTTGCTCGCCGGGCTCGGTCAAGGGGGCGCCACGGCCAGGCCACTCGACGGCGGCGTGCTCACCCATCGGGGAGCACGCGCACCGGCGAGGGGGCCGGCGACGGCGCCGTGGCTCGCTGCTCACTCCCGCTCGGTGTCCTCTCAGTGTCTGCGGCTACGCTGAGGTAGAGAGAAGAGAGAGCGGCGAGCGAAGAGAGAGAAGGGCAAGGGGCGAATGAAGCTAGGGTTGCGATGAGCCGAGCGGTGCTGGGGTTTTGACCGGCCGAAACGCCCGCTCGGCCGTCCGATTGGAATCAATGACACCGATTGATCGGGCCGGCTTTCAGCCCAGACGGGTCTGTGCGCGCGCCGAAATTCGACCGAGCCCAGCCCAAAGCTATGCCTGGGCGCTGGGAGCGCAAGGAAGGGCGTGTGGGGCAGTGGGCAGTGGGCGTTTTTAGGTCAAAAGCAATGAAAGAGCAAGAGCCAGTTTTCTTTTTTCCTTTTTCTAGAAAATTGAAAATGTAAAATGGCTCAAAAGAAAAATAGAAAAAGTAATTTTATCCTGTGGGTAAAATTCAAGAAATTGATGTAAAGTTTTTCCGCTGCTAAAGAAAAGGTATATTCTCCGGTGATTTTGAATAGACGTGATATTTAACTGGAGAAAAGGAAAGTTTTTCCAGTAAATGTTTATTTCCTGAAAATTGATTAATGGATCAAAGAAAATATAAAATCAATTTTCCCTGTGGGTAAAATTCAAGAAAAGAAGAAGATTTTCCACAGCTAAAGAAATTATTTATTCTCCAGTTAATTTGTACCAATGTGGTATTTAATTGAAGAAAAGGAAAGTTTTTCCGCTGCTAAAGAAAATGTTGATTCTCCAATTATTTTGAACCAATGTGGTATTTAATTGGAGAAAAAGAGTTTTGACATGATTATGATGTTGTTATTTTCTGACCAACGTTGTTGATAACAATATCGTAATGCTAATGATTTATGCATTAATTTTACTTCTGCCCAACGGTGATGTAGAATTAGTGTATAAGAAAAATTGATAATTTTAATGATTTATGCATTAATTCTACTTCTGCCCAACGGTGATGTAGAATTAGTGTATAAGAACATATGTTAATTTTAATGATTTATGCATTAATTCTATTTCTGCCCAACGGTGATGTAGAATTAGTGTGTAAGAACAGTTATGAAAGTTAAAGATTTATGCATTAATTCTATTTCTGCCCAACGGTGATGTAGAATTAGTGTATAAGAATAGTTGTATGTTTTGATTTTGACCAACGTTGGAATCAAGGCATGCAAATTGTGTTAATGTTATGTTAAGAAAAGATTTGACCTGGTTTTCATCTTGTTTAAGGTGTACTGGGTAGTCACCTCACCGTGTTCCACTGAGTTTGTGGCACCGGTGAGGGAGACAAAAGAGAATGATGCCACTTGGGCAACTAAAGAAAGGGATTTTGAATCCCAAAAGATATCCTATGGCTTTTGAGCATAGGAAGTGGGTCACTGCAAACAAGAAATGTTTGGCTGTGATAAAGAACATGATTGAACCTACAATTGTGGGCTCAATCCCAGAATGTGACACGATCACCAAGTACCTCGATAGAATAAAGAGCAGTTCACTGGCTCTTCAAAGATATGCCACTTAGCTGATAAAGCTGGTCACAGAGTGTTACTCTGGAAATGGTGACATAAGAGAGCTCACGATGCGTTGTCGAAATTATGGCACTGTCGTTTAGGCCATATTTTGAGGGGGAGAATAGAAAGACAAGTTAAGAATGATATTCTTCCTCCATTAGAGCTCTCAGATTAAGTTCAATGTAGAGAATGCATAAAAGGAAAGTATGTAAAGAAAGATGACAAACGAAGCACAGGAATTTTACATATCATTCACATTGACATCTGTGGTCAGCTTTCCTGTAAAGAGTGTGGATGGTTATGATCCATTCACAGATGATTACTCCCATTATGACTATATTTATCCAATCAAAGAAAGAAAAAATGTATTAGATAAATTTAAGATATTAAAGATTAAGATAGTCAGGTCTGACCGTGGGGGTACTACGGTCGGCATACCCTAAAAGAATGGCATAGTAGCTCAGTATTCTACACCGAGCGAACCTCAGCAGAATAGAGTATCTAAAAGAATCAATCGTACCCTGATGGATATGGTGGGCAGTATGATAAGTTACTCCACCTTACAGTTGAACCTCTGAATGAAGGCGTTAAAACCGCCATTTATATTCTCAATAGAGTATCAAGAAAGTCGGTGCCCAAAACACCGTATGAGTTGTGGACAGAAAGAGTACCCTCACTAAACCACTTGCGTGTGTGTGGGGAGCCCTGCTGAGGCTAAAGTATTTAACCCAAATATTGGGAAGTTATATCCCAAAACAATAAAGTTGCCATTTTATTGGCTACACGTAAAAGTCAAAAAGTTTTCGCTTTCTCTTTGTCGAGAGAGACATATAAAGTTTGTGGAAAACGAGATCTGCTGTTTCCTCCTAGAGGACAAATTGATGAAGGGGAGCATGGTAGCTCGAGAAATTGACCTTGAAGTGAAGCGGGTGTAGCACCCACTCCAATGATTTATGAGCCAATTTTCTCACTACTCATCAGAGTCAGCACCGACAAGCAGCTAGATATCTTGTGGTGCCAAAGACTGTTGTTATCCCACCTGTGGCAAAAAATGAGTGAAAATGAGGAACCTGTTCTTCAGGATCCAATAGAACCGATTGCCACACATGAGGGGGAGCAACAACAGCCTCAAACAGAAGATGTGCCAAATATGGAGGCCCCTAAAAGGTCTCAAAGAGTTAGAAAATCAGCTATTCCTGCTGATCATGAAGTGTACAACACTAAAGAATTTCAAATGGAGGATTATCGAAGCCTCGTTTGAAGAAGCCATGAGTAGTGATCAGTCATCAAAGTGGCTTAAGGCCATGGAAGATGAAATAAAATCATTGAATGCCAATAAAATTTGGGACTTGGAAATAATTCCTAAAAGAGTCAAAACAGTAGGCTGTAAATGGGTCTACAAGACAAAACTTGACTCTCAAGGGAATATAGAGAGATATAAAGCCCGACTTGTGGCAAAAGGCTTTGTGCAAAGAGAAGGGATTGATTACAATGAGACCTTTTCTCCAGTCTCATGTAAAGTTTCCTTCAGAATCATAATGGCATTAGTGGCACATTACGATTAAGAATTACATCATATGGATGTAAAGACGGTATTTCTCAATAGAGACTTGGAGGAAAATGTTTACATGGCACAACCGAAAGGTTTTGTCATGGAAGGAAAAGAACGAATGGGATACCACCTAAAGAAATCCATTTATGGATTAAAGCAAGCTTCAAGACAGTGGTACTTAAAGTTTGATCGGTCAATAAAGAATTTTGGGTTTTAAAGAGAATGTAGAGGACAATTGTGTCTATGTAAAGTTTAAGATTGGGAAGTTTATCTTTCTTATCCTGTATGTAAATGATATCTTACTTGTTAGTAGTGATGTCAGTCTACTACAGGAGACAAAGAAGTTTTGTTCTCAAAACTTGATATGAAAGATCTTGAGGAAGCCTCGTTCGTTCTAGGGATCGAGATTCACCGAGATAGAAGAAAAGGGTATAATGACTGTCGCAAAAGGCATACATGAAAAAGATCTAAAAGAAATTCAGTATGCACAAATGTAGTCCCTCACCTGCTCCTATAGTCAAGGGCGACAGATATGGGGATTTCCAATGCCCCAGGAACCAATATGAGCTCAATTGATAAAGTGAAAGTGGTTCCATATGCTTCAGCTGTCGGAAGCTTGCAACATGCTCAAGTATGTACACGCCCTGACTTGGCATTTGTTACCGGGTTTTACTTGGCAGATTCC